GTTAGACTTTTGGTTGGACTAAACAAATGCCATTTTATGCCCTGGGGAATTATAACAGGACTTTTTGCACTATTTAAAATATGTTTTGATTGAGAAAATACTTGCTAATTTACCAATCTATCTTAGTAAAACGCATTGCATGTACAAAAAGTGGGAAGTGGGAAGTATTAATTATCCTATCAGCATATATTAGCAGTCTTATGTATGTGTCAAGTATGGGGCTTGTTATCACATGAGCCACTAGCTTAAGCCTTAAGGTCTTAGTGCCCGTGGTTCTTGGCTGGTTATGTATCAGGACCTACCTTTTACCTTGGTTATGCAGTAGACTTAGCAGATTAGTTAACAGCATACTGTCGCTCCCTCTTTGAGCTCATCTTTGTCCGTCGCCCTGTTTGAGTATCTTCTGACCCATTTTGGGTTCCTGACCTGCCAGCCGAGAAACACTGCCTCCTGTTAAGTTATTTGTTTCCACAGAGCCATGCCTTGTGATCCTGAAAGTGTGCCACCCTTTGACTTGTGATTCCACCTTGCCTTTTTCAAACATTACACAACTGTTCACTCAATATCAAAGCATTGTGCTGGACTCAAATCCGTCAGAGAACTCGGTTCACTGTGGGTGTGACATGGTTGATTGAGGCAGGCTTTGTTTCCCTGTGCATGCTCATGTGTTGCCCTTAGGCATACATGTATGCTAAACAGGACAGTTTGACATGTTGCTCTGCGGCTCAGCTGGCAATGCATTCAAAAGGAGAAGCGCAGCTGTTACCCTGCTTTCCTATTAACATACACACGTGTGTAGGTTTGCCTTGTCTGTGTGCATGTACATTTGTTTGTCATGTGTTGTTCTCTGTTGGCAGCCAGTGGGAATGGCAGGTGTCATCTGTGCCTCCTTGCAGTTAAGTTTTATGAGGGCCTTTGTAAGTGTGAGGCTGGTGTTCCTGCTGTCAGCAGCACACTGTTACAATCCCTGACCCCAGCCAGCAAAATCAGTCTCACTGAGCTCTAGATCTATTGTTGTAGGACTGTGTGTGTCGGTAGCTAAGCAGCAGTTGGCATGCAGCCACACCGAGCTCTGTGTCATGCACAGTTGCAGAGGCACACAGCTTAGTCAGACACACACACACAAACACACAAAATACATACACGCCCCAACATACAGCCAGAACATTTGTTCTAGGGATGTCAATTTTGAGCTAATTCCTCAGTCATTTTGATGATAGGTAATGTAAAATAAAGCTCTACCGGTCATTATTATTAACATACAATGTCGATTAGTGGGGCTTTAAATATTAAAGGAAACATCATTAGTTTGATGGAAATCCCAGTCTCTGATGTTTAAGCCTAATGTTGAGCATTTCAATGCACTACCCCAAACTCTTCACCATACTTTTGGCTGCTTTGCAGAAACGATGCTGCACCACAGAATAGTCCAGTATGGACCTTATTTCCAGGGAGCCTAGGCTGGTTGGGTTGGTGTCCTTGAGCTACACAGGAGAAAGCAAGAAGGAAGACTGTTTGTGGTTGAACAATGAGCGAGGCTCTGGAGAGGCAGCTGCTGTTTTTTGATAACAGTAGAGTTGAGACAGAAAGATAATTCAGCACTCTGGACGTGTGTTCAATAACAGGACCCACCGCACTGAGACCTATACTTGGTTTGGTCCTCCTGTGTCTGGATCCATAGGTAAAAATCAATTCCTGGCAAGTCAGCCAACAGCTCCCTCGACACTACTGAACGTGTGAGCACAGTTCAGAGCATAGTGTTTTAGTGTGCACTGACAATACTGTATGTATGTGTGTGTGTGTGAGTGAGTATGTGGGATTAACCCCTTCTGTCAGTGAAGCAGGTGGGGCTCAGGCTCACATCCAGTTTTACTGGACCCTTCTTTACCTCCCCCTTCTTCTTGCGCACTCTTTCAGGTCCTCCATTTTCCTTTTGTTTTATCGCCTCCATCCAGAATTAAAAAACCTCTACCTTTAACCTCACCGTCCGCTGTCAACCGTTCTAACTTAAATGTGCAGAACCTTGATGTGGTTTCTGTCTGAACTGTCACCTTTCCTCCTCCTCACTGTGTGTGATGAAGCTGTTGAACAGTTCACAGTTATACTGATGTGTTGTGATACACTGAATATAGATCTATTGTTAACACAATGTAACACTTTGGGAGCGAGATTTCAGGATAAACTCAAAGTGTGAGGCTGCGAAACTGTTTGTTAAGAAACATGAGCAGGTCGGTTTTCAATTGGTAGGTAGGGCTTAAAACAGGCCACTCAAACCTAAATAAGCTCCGAAATAAGTGTGAACATGGGACTTTTCACCTATAATCCAAAACATCTGTCATGTATCATTCACTGTGGTTGGTGTGTGGATAACCATTTTATCCTCATCTCCTCACTGTCATAGATTGACATATAGAATTTTTTGACAACTTTCAAAGCATGGAGATCAGTTGTCTTCATTGAAAAGTGTTCGGTGCTATTGTAAGCTTTTCCCTCATCAGATCATTTGTAAGTAAAGACTTTGTAGCTGCACAAGACCAAAGTTGGAAACTCCACCACCGACCACAGCGTATCATAACTGGTCAACCCTCAGGAGATGTGTGATAGTGTAAACAACCTCTGACTTCCTGTTTTGAAGTGGGAACTTTAGTGTGTATGTACCTACAGTATCATGAGGTGCCCTCCTTATAGGAATCCACTGAGTGTGTGGGCTGGAGGTGTGAGCGACAGACTGGTCACAGAGATTGGCACCAAGTGTTGTAGGAGTAGAGGAAACACGTACTGATATTAGACAGCATTGTGTTTATTTCTGCAGAGCATTGCACTATATTGTTTCATACAGGTTACATTACAGATCATCATCATCAAATAATCATCAAAACAACCGTTATAGTTGTTATAGTTTCACAATTAGGGAGATATATTTATTTATTTTGTGGCGTGGAGTTAGCGGATTTATACCACCCTCATAAGAGCCAAAGTGAAACCAGAACTTCACTTTAAACCTCATTCAAAATCCTGTTGACATTTTTAATAAAACTATTAACTACTAACAAAAAAGTCCAGCCTTGGAACGCAACCTTACTCATCAGCGTGTTGTGTGGTTCTCGCCATATGTTCAGATAAGGTTGATAATATGATAACATTCATTCCATTTTTCTGTTTTTAGTGCCCCTTAATAAACATGAGCTAAACTTCATAGTTTGAAAAAAGAGGTGAGTCCGCGGGTGAGTCGTAGGGGATGCACTAGCTTTTACCTGTAATCTCTCTGTAAAAGCAGCAGGACAAAGAGGAGCAAACACGAGTTGTTTGACAGCAGCAATTATAGCTAAAAAGACACCAGGAGTTTGGCTCTGACATAATCACATCCACATTATTAGACAGAGCCAGGCTAAGAGGTCTCAGTCTCCATGCTAAGCTAACGTTGTCACTGGTGATAAAATGATTTCAGTTTGTTAGGGGGAGTTTGTCCAAGTTTTTTCTAGACACTTAGAAGACATCTAGTAAAAGTTTGAAACAGGGATCACGGTACATGTTAGGTAGTGTTCACATGGGACATTTGCCATCAATTAAATGAGTTGAAGGGGATGATTGATGATGCACTCAAACGTTCAGCTAGTTTTGATGACTATGTTGCTGCATTACCATGAACAATCACTCATCTCATGTCTGATCAAAATACAGCGTCCATTTTTGATGCCTTACACATGCCTCATACGAACATTGTCTTCGTCCCTACTGAATATTGCTTCTGTCTGACATTATGTCTGAAATATTTACTTGGAAGGCCTGCGTATGAACTTCTCCCACTCAGTCTGATGGAACTCTATCAGCCTCTCTGCTCTTCAGTGCTCAGTTAGAGTGTTTAGGAACAAAGCCCCCCGCCCCCACTCATCATCAAAACACTTAACTTCCTATGCTTTATTCATGTGTGGTTTTGCATTCTCTTCCAGAAAGGCACTCTGGGAATTGTAGGAGAAAATTGTCCTCCTCCGTCATATGAGGAGGGCTGCCTGGAAGTGCAGTGATGTTGTTGTTTCTATTCTACTCTTGTTTCTAAAGATGTTTTAGCATATTTATATTGTTGTCAAGCGAATGGGACAGAGAGGAGGAAATGCAGGAAAGGTCATGAGTACAACATAAACACATAATGCTGAGAGTGAAGGTCCTCCTAGCTTGTTGTAACAGGAAGTCCATCCTCTCCTTTTTCTCATGCCTTATTTTCTCACACATGCTTTCTTTCTCTGCTCCTCGCTGTGATTTCCTGTGCATTTAGAAAGCTGTGCGTATGTGTGTTTGAGTCATTCTCTGAAGTCAGCATTTACAGACACCCACCTCACTCAGCAAGAAGAATCAGTCACGTGTACTTCCGACCTTAGTCATGTCCCTGGTGTTCTGATGAAAGCCTTTTTGTTTTAAACTTCGCAATAAAATCTTGGGAGGTTGCAGTGTGTAGGCATGTACTTTGCATTTTTACCTACGGAGCAATTTAAAATGGATCCAAATATCTTGGCTAAAATTAGGCTACGTAGGGTTCAAAGGGATAGTTTTATTTTCCTACTGTACTGTGGTCCTCCTTGTCACTGCAAATTCCGTAGTTGACCTGGGGAAGTAGTTGATCTGTCAGTGAGGAGCTTCACTGGGGCAGTGTAGTGAATTCATGATGTCCTAGAGGTCCTATCCCTCCCAATGAAAGCCCCCTGACCAACCAGTTTTAGTTTCTAGTAGTGACAAAAATGTGACATGGATTACTCACTGGCTTCCCACCTATGGAAAAGCAGGACACTTGCTTTCTACCAACTAAGTCCTATGTCCTGTCCTTAGCAGGTGTTCAGACAGAAAGACAGCCATAGTTGCAACACTAGAGGAAGGTTTTTAGGAGCTAAAAAAGCTAGCATGATTTTTGTTGTTGTGTTTGTGTTGTTTGTAGAATTGCATTTGAATCGGGGGGACAAAGTAAAAACACTAATCTTTGTGTTAATCCTTTCGTTGTCACTCTGCAGGGCAGGACAAGTGGAGCTGCGAGAGACGGACACATGAAGCATGAGAGGGTGGAGCTGAGGCTCAGCTGACCCTTCCCCTTCCTTCTCCTCCTTTCCCCCGTCCTTCATTTGATTGGCACCTTCCCCCTCTCTTCCCCTCCTTTTCCCCTTCCTGTCTCCCTCGCCCTGTTGGATCTCACCCATCTTGCCTCCCCTCCTCCTCCAAACCTCAATCAGCCGTGCCCAATGTACTCCCCGGAGCAGGAAAACATCTCCACCACCTCCTCCACCAAAGTGCCAGTGAAGTATGGAGAGCTCATTGTGCTGGGGTAAGGAACAGCTAATTACAGATACTCATCTTTACATTCAAAACAGAACGCTTTTCTATTCTTTTGTGACTGAATTTGTGGACATTACAACTTTTGTTCCCTGACACTAAAATTATGGTCTAAATAAGATGTAAGTTCAAAGTACTGTTGGCAAGATCCTCAAAGGCAAATCAAATAGTTGACAGTGAGATGTCTTTAAATGTCAAAAATAGATTCTGGAGGACATTTATATTAAAGCAGCTATAATTCATATATACATTAAACCGTATATCAAATGACAATGTGAAAAAACATGACAATGTGAAAGGGGTTGCTCATAGTGATGAACCTACAGAGAGGTATCACTCCAATCTGCATTTCCCATTGGCTTTATGGAGCTTTAGCGAAACTCAGCTCTGGCCCTCTTCTTTACTGTTATGGTTCACTCTCACATCTCTCACAGCATCTTTTTCAAACGCAGCAGGCAGCTGTTTTGGTGAAAGAATTCTAAAGGCTGAGTGTGCACTACCTGCTCAACACCAACCAGCTGGCAGACGCAGTAGCGACTAGCTGGTGAACATAGCGAACCATTTAGCAGCTAAAGAGACAGATGTTTCTCTCAGGAGACCAGTAAAAGAGCTAAAAAAGGGAGGGAGTGTTGGACTTACATTCATCAGGTGGCTGTTTGCTAATATGTTCGCCATATCAACTTGAAAAGGTGAAGATATATCAATGTTGTGTTCACGCCATGTTTGCACTCAGAGATGGCAGGTTTAAGTTTGTTGATATCTCCAGTTTCTTTTCCTATGTACTTTACGTTGTGTAGTTTGATGATTGACCAAGATTGACTATATTATTGTTGTTGGAGCTATGAGTCATGGCTAATAATGGTTGGATGTATTGGTCCAAGTTGTTTGCTGTTCTAACACTCCAGTGTTTGATGAATGAATTTACTCTGCACAAAATGTGCAAGACTGGTGAAAACCCAATTCACCTCCTAGCCATAAAAGGACAACTTTCAATTGTCTTTGACATGTTTGTTAGACCTCGAGGATACACACAATGCATTTTGTAAATATAAAAATAATTTATGTTTGTTTCCAGAAAACTCCACAGTAAAGCCTAAATGACTGCCATAATGTGTTGATGTGACTTTGTATTGTTCTTTTGTTTACACTATGTGCCAATGATGGCACATTATAGTTAGAGATAATCATAACTTAAGAACCATGTAAATAGTGGTGACGAGGAGAAAAAGAGCTGTTGTTGTGGTAAAAGACCAAGTGTCCCGAGGGAATGTACAGTAAGGATTTAGAAGCACTTCGATTGGTCAATTAAATTGTGGATATCGAATGCTTCTCCAGAAAACAGCATAAACAATAGTGATATTATTGTCCAGTTGCACAGGGTAATGCACTGAGAGTGCACACAGACAGTGTTTGAATTTCGTATTTTTGGAACATGAGATGAAGCACATTACTTGATATATTACAATATGAGATCAATTTTGGCCAGAAGCAGCACCGGATACTCATCACCTTGGCTGTCGCTCCCTCCGGAGATGTGTTTCAAAGTCCACATACTCAGCTGTAGGAAAAACCCTCCACCCCACCCTGCATCTTCAACATAGAAGACATTTAACTCCACACACTTTCTCCAATAACAACTGACAATGAAGGACTTCCTCTATCTGTCTATCTCCTGTTTATTCCCCAAAGGACTATTCCACTCCACTCCCCGTCCCAGCCCACTCCACAGAGGAATGCAGATGTCGGAAAGACTCCTTACATGCACATACCGACACACACACACTTTCTTGTGCACGTACAACACACACATACCACATACACACTCACAGTTGGTTTCACAGCTGACTCACAGTTTGTTGTTCTGGGTTGTGCTGGAGCGGTATTGTCAGGGAGATGACCGTGGAAATTTTTCCCTAGTGGAAAAACCGCAGTGAGCAGAAAACGCAGTTCCATGCCTTTACAAGGGAGAACCCCAGTTTTCCGCTTTCCTCTTCTTTTTCCGCTCCTAGTTTTTCATTCTAGGTCAGGCCACCCTTCTTTACAAGGTCAATAGGGGCACTTTTTGCTGGATGACATGAGTAGTCACACACTGTACTGTAAGTAAAGGCTGCTCTAGGGTTAGTGAACACTTTAATACACTTTACAGTTTGTTTCGTGTGTGGCCTCTAACCCTAACTTTAGTACACTGCTCTGTCTTCTGACCTACACCAGAAATGAATCCCTGTGACACCCACTCTGACACTTACTATCAATAACCTGTGGTTTATACAGTATAAAAGCCCCATAAGGCCATGACAACATAGGATGGTCTGTTCCCCCAGTCAAACACAAAACATGGCTTTACGGTGACATCTGTTCCAATTAACCTATTACATTAGCAACAGGCTGCTCAAGACTGAATAAGGATGCCCTTAAAGTTAAGTTTACTCATTGCTAAATGGATAAAAAGCTTCTTACTTTGCTCTAGAGGAGCTAAATTGTGCTGTGACACTGACTTAAAGGTGCTCTGTGGAGTTTTGTTATAAGCAAACAAAAGTTGTGAATACATTCAGTGTTTCTCACCAAAATGTACTGTATATATTCTGAGACCTGACAAATGTTTTAAGTTCCTATTTGCTATTGCTGTTGCTATTTCTTTCCAATATTTTAAATTGTGCATGATTTAAATGTATGTTAGCTAGCTTGCAGTCTTCCTTTCCCTTGGCTTTGTTTGCACATTGCTACGGTTCTTTGCGCATTACCACAGCAGAATGGTAATTCAGCGGAGTGAAGTAAAACCAGCGACAGGAATGTGTATCACGTTTATTTCATTTGTGTGTGTCCTTGTGTACATGCACAGTGCAAACGGAACAGGGAGCCACTCATAAAAACATTTAAGTAACGAATCAATACAGAAACCAGTTAAAAAATATTGTCTACTCGTTCACACCATAAATTGACACTTGAGCCAACATCCCACCTGTCCCTAAGTTCAGACATCAGGCCAAAATTAGGCCAAAGTTCTTCACATCAGATTTTCTCTGCGTAATCTCGAAACCGTGTTCCTTGAGTCACCCTGACAATCAGACTGAGTTTCACTTCAGTTGCTGATTTATAGATATAGACAATGATTCAGAAGTCTAAACACCAGGCTCACCCTTGAAAAGAGTGCCAGCTAAACTGTAAACAAGTGTAGTAGAGGACAAAAACTGTTACTAATACTGATGATGTTCGTAACAATTCTTTACTTTTACTTTACTTTGGCCGCCCTACGCGTCGGTATTTGACGACCTTGGACCTTGTAGCAGAAACTCAAACTCCAGAATGACTGACCCCACCTGTAAATCTGCTTTCTGTATGCAGCAATTATTCGTATTTTGTTGGTTTTACTAATTTTGGTAAATTACTTATAAGCCAGTACAGAACATGATTGTGCCAACTAAATGTCTCAGCTGCAGTAAAGTCCACCCATCTGGTTCTCCCAGCAGGCTGAAACAAGTGCTTGGATTTAATTGACAGTCCTGTTTGACTAAGAACAGACTTGCACATGAAATTACTAATGGAGAACCCCATCAACACATAGCACAGTGTTGTGTCTGACCTCCTCGCTAACCCCAGTCCCAACATTTCCATGTTTAAAGCCCAGCGATGCTAATGGCCTAATCCAGAGGAATGATGCAGCATCTCTGGAGACGATCCGTTTACAGGCGTACTGGACATCCATGTGGCAACTGTGATTGTGATACATTGTGGTCCCTCCAAATCCATCTCTGTCTGTCTTTATAAGTCTTAACATAATAATTGTGTGTCCACATGCATGTTTATGCAAAACATTTTCCGTGTGTGGGTTGAATCTCACGCCATATGCCATTAAACTCAACTGCAGTGTCCCAGGCTTTACAGCAGTGCAGCTGTGTTGCATTGGCAGAATATTATTCATTTTTAAGACAGTATAATATTCACACATGGACATCAAGCTCACTGAAATAAATATTCTCTCACTTTTCCTTCCACTCCGTGTATATTTGGTTTGGCACATTTTAACATCTATTTTGTCATTTAATATCTACTTTTTAACTTATATGTTTTTATGCACTTCATGTTTAAAAAAAAATAAACTTATATAATATTACATCTAATATAATATATTTAGCAGCCTCTGCCTTTAGTTTATTAACCTTGTAATGTTAACACATGTAAACAGAGACGCAGAGTGACTTAGTCATAAGCAGTAATTACCCACACAACCTGTCTTTATGTTTTTATAGGTTTACTATATAAATAGTAGCTTGTTGCTGCACATCAAGCTTTAGTTTGCTAGTGTTTGGAGGGAAAACACGCACGCACACACACACACACACACACACTTGCTTGCTTATTGTGAGAGCTGAAGAATACAGTACGTGTCTGCACATATACAGACTAACTTTTTCCTAACTCTGCTTCTTCCTGCCTCACACTGTATGAACCATTTATATGCACGCACACATTAACACACACTAACTTGTTGCTAACCTTTGCTAGCCATTGTTTTGAGAATATTTGGATACATGTATGTACACTGACACATTACTTCTACCCATGGGAACCTGGGCTTGAACTGCCAGCAACACTTTCTTTCTCCAGCAGACTGCCCTGCCCTCTCCTCGGATACGGGCTAAACTTCACCATAGTTACGCTCTTGCCATGGTTACTCTTCCCAAACGTTGCTGTGGCTCTGTTCTCTCACCATGGTTACTCATAAACCCTCCCAGCACCGTTTGATCCCAGCGGATCCGCTCTCTCATACAAACATTTCGCTGCAGGCTGGGCGTCCTTACAACCTGTCTGTGCCGTCTTTGCTGGACTCAGTACAATGGGTGGTTTCATTGCAAGAGTCTGATTGGTCAAAGACACGTTCCAACTGTGCTGAGGTCCTAAACAGCATGGCTACATCTGCTGTGCTGCATTTTCTCTGGTTCTTTCTTATTCACGTTTACTTCTTTTAGCTTTTCAGACATTAGACATGCATCTGCAATCCTGGTTGAAAACATGAACTCTTGATTACTGCGTTTTTGACACTGTTTTGTCCAGTATTTGTTTCTCAGTGGGTTCCTACTTTTGTGTATATCTTCAAAAAAAGTTCTGAAACGTAAAATTCAGCATCAAGACATTTTATTTTTGTATTTTTTTTATTTTCTTGCCGACTTAGCCTTAGCCAAAGTATTTAATATCATGTTTGTTAAAAGAATAAAACCTTATCATGAGACGATTACAACAGTTTGAATGACTGACTTTTTAAAAAAAATAGCAAAAGAATAATAATAAACATTAGCTGAAAACTGATAAATTCATAGCTAAACAAAAAGCTGTAGGAATCAATTGAATCATATCACGTTGCATTTGTTGCAGTGGAGTATAGTTGCAGTATATCAGTGAAGCCTGAGGAGTACATAACTTATGTGGCCTCTGGATGTTATAACAGTGTTAAAGTAGCGAGCAGTGTTTATGCATGTGGTAATGTTTATAAAGCTGTGGTTCTGTTAGCAGTAATATCACTTCACACTGGTAATAGCTTATCCAAAACATGTGTGTGCCATAGAGAATCAAACCTTATGTAACCTCGGTATATTCAGAGAATGTCAAGTGATGTGCTTCGTATATGTTAATACCTGGAAACCAAAAGTACAGCTATAGTGTTTAGGTCATTGACTGCTATAGCAAATGTGCACTTTATTCCTTCATCCAGAGTGTTTTTATTTCTATACCTATACACTAATTTAGCCTTTGCTAAAGACTTAATATTGCTGTTTGTATTATTGTTGTCAATGAGGACCTTCTGTTGTGTTGAAAGGGATATCTTGATTTTTATTAATACTACATTGTTGAGAGGGATGAACCCCTCTTTTTACCCCAGTATATAAGTACTATAATGGATCAGCTGCAGACTCTCAGAAACACTTTTTGACTGTAGGATGTTAATAAAGACACACACACTCAGAGACACAACAGCACAGTCACAGTGTTGTCGGGAGTCACAGAGACTCCATTCTGTTGGAGGGAACGCCTCTGTTTATTCTCCTTTCCTCTGCCGTGTATCAGGATAAATGAGTTTCTTTGTGTGTTTATTTTCTCAGCCTTTCTGGGGGTTATGTTTGGAGGACTTTGTTGTTTATGGGACCTGATGTGCTTTTGTAGAATAAAAAGCATGTATGAAAAATATAGGCTGCTATTTGTACGTCTGTGTGTGCATACATGGTCTTAGGGGCATGGGGGGAGTGCACCAAAATGCCTCAAGCATTTTCCACAATGACTGTTTTTCCAGTGTATTATACAGCTGCTCAGACAATAATACCCTATTGTTTTCTGTATGTGTGTGTGTGTGTGTGTGTATGTATGTGCAGGTACAATGGCTCTCTGCCCAACGGAGACCGAGGCCGACGTAAGAGCCGCTTTGCACTTTGTAAGAGACCGAAGGCAAACGGGGTGAAACCCAGCACAGTTCACGTCGCCTGCTCTCCACAGGCAGCCAAGGTGAAACACGCAATACAGTATAATTTAGTCATCCCGGAGATCACACAATTGCAGTCATCGAAACCCTACACATCAGCAGTTTCAGTCCTTTTCTTCTTTACATGGTGATTTATATTTTAAGAGTTTACAGTTTCCATGGAATATATTGCATATATAACATAGAGAAAGATATAAATGTATCAGTGAGAAAATAGTATTTTCTTCTTCTTGTTTTAAAAAGGATGCATTTGTGGGTGTATTATGTTGCTTGACTGACAACATCAAATATAACACACCCAGTTCAGAGGATTTGACCTGTGCTGCTCCACCAAAGGCTTTTGTGAAATTCTGTTTGCTTTTTGTTCTGTGATATTAAAGTACCACACACACACACACACACACACACACACACACTCGCACCCGTCAAACACAGTCAGGAAAAGATTCAGCAAAGCTTTCCTTGAGTTGTAGGAAAGGGAAAACGAGCAGGTACAGGTCTTTGTCGAGGTTTAAAAGGTATTTGAACAATGGTTTTTACGCAGCGTTTAACTGGAACATGCTGAAGGTTTATAAGATTAACAAATGGGAACAGTCCAGTGGAGGGTAACTGAGCGTTTTCTAGCCAAGTCCTGGGAAGCACATGTCCGTGTGTTTCCATTGTCAGTTATAAGACCGCCCAGAAATCCTTCAAAATCTGTTAAAAGAACAAGGGATTATATGGTATGTGTGTGTGTGTGTGAGAGAGAGAGGAGAGAGAGAGGAGAGAGAGAGAGAGAGAGGACTGTGCTTTTTGGATTACATCTGCACTTCACAGACTCTCTGTGGACACAGATTTTTGTACTCTCACCCACTCACTCACTCAACACAACACACACACAACACACACACACACACCACACACACACACACACACACACACAGACAAGACTTGTAGTTGCAGTAATTTAAGAATCTTGAAGAGTGATTGTCTTCTTCTTTGGGTGGTCCTGACTGACTGATGTCAAGGCTGTGTTAAGTGCAGCTAGTGACTACATAACTGAACTCTTCACCAACCCCACCCTTCCTATGTGTATCTATTGTTCCATGTAAGGATCAGTCAGAGGTGTTTTTGCTGTAAAGAATGTTCAGGTTCAATCCTCGTGTACGTTTTAAGCGAAGGCATCTAAAGGACTTTACTTTTGTGTCTTGTCTTCTTTGTGTTCATCTTCCCTTTCTGTCTTCTGTCCCATCAGGCCATAAGCAACAAAGACCAGCACAGCATCTCTTACACTCTGTCTCGAGCCCAGACGGTGGTGGTGGAGTACACCCATGACAGCAATACAGACATGTTCCAGGTAACAAGCCTCAGCTTTTACCACCAGGTCTGGAGTTTTACAACCAGTCTTTATTTTTTCCACTGGATTTCTCCAAGTGGAATAATCAGTACTCCTGGTCTCAGTGTAGTTTGTGCACCCTCACATCAACATCACAGCAGTCTGGGAAAAGAAAATGTCAACTAAGAGGTTTTGAGTCTTGTAGTCTGCATGTGGCTGTACCAACACAGTAACCCGCCGGAGCAGCAGTAGTAGATGCTTCAAAACATTATGTGAACAAACAGACATGGTGCCCATATTCAGACACTTCCATATGATATCATTAATGTATCTCTGATGTCTGTGTCCAATCCATGTAGTAATCATAGGAAAAAGATGCAGAACTTGCCTGAGAATCATCACATTTTTAAGTTTTTTTCAAGTAATGCAGTGATAATTGTCTGTACATGAATGGATGGATTGCAAACAGGAACTGCTAATAGCTAATTCAGGATATTTTTGATGGTGCCAGTTTGCCAAAATGTAAACAAATAAACCTAACTGGCTCTATGGCAACTTTATACTTCCTACTTTTGAGATAGAGTTGACAAGGGGTGTCGGACTTTGAAAAGCCATTGTGTTTGAGTGTAGCTGATTAGATTTTTATTGTTGATCATTCATTATTTAAATATCAGCAATGTCAGGATATTCAATTGTATATTGTATGCTTGCTTCCTTTAAAATTGTCAAGATGTTGATATACAGCGAATTGCAGCAAAATTATTTTCTGCAACTCAAATAGAGGTGAAAACATGTATCTGATAGTCTGTATGATAATGTAATTGGGTCAATTATTTGAAACATTAACGTCCTATAAGTATAAAAGTCTGTATGGTGTAAAAACACAAATGTCACATGATATTCATTGTCTATTAAGAAATAAAACATGTTATATCAGTGACACATTATTCATTTCAGTTAAGTTTGAACAAAAGGTATTTAAACATTTTTCAGTGTTTTTCAAAGTCGCCTGTCCTTTGCATGATTACAGCATTAACACTCTGGGAGGCTGTCCTGTAGAGTGATTATGGTATTCAGGTAGCTGTCAGAGGCAGCAAAGTACCCATCATCATAGTACAGAATGTCCTCAAGGTTATTATGGATATTATGCAAGTTAGCAATGCATGTGAACCAGCTAAAGCCTTTTTAGTCTCCAAATTCATGTTAGCCACATGCAGGAGAAAATCTTAAGTTATAAAGCAAAGACTAGCAAATGTTCCTGGCTATATCTATTAGCTAAACCTGGCAATATTTGTTCTCACTGTTGTCATTATCCACCTATTTAACCTATTTCATTCACATTTTGAATAGAATCCACATTGTACATATTCTGCATTCACTATTTTAATGACATTTCTCTATTTCTCTGTTATTCTCTCGCTAGCTTGCCTATAGGAAACTCATTATTATATTATAGCTGGAACGCATTGTTGACAAATCTTAATATCTTGTCGGAACACATTTCCATCTCCTTTAACCAGATCGGTCGATCGACAGAGAGTCCCATAGACTTTGTAGTGACGGACACGGTGGCGGGCAGCCAGAGTAATGCAGACACCCAGTCGGTCCAGAGCACCATCTCCCGCTTTGCCTGCCGCATCAAGTGCCAGCGCACGCCTCCTTACACCGCACGCATCTATGCCGCAGGCTTTGACTCCTCCAAGAACATCTTCCTCGGGGTGAGCTGTGTTTCATCTGGTGCTTCAGACACGTGTAGGCGAGTGTGAGAGGCAGAAAGATGAAAGGACAAAGCATCAAAGAACCACAAGGAAATGTCATAGAAAGATAGAGGAAAATAAGAGAAAAGAGAAAGAAGAGCGATACAGCTTATGTTCTGGTACTAAAAAGTAAGAGAAACTGACTCTTAAATTTACTTTTCAGTCTTTTTTTTCACGTTTGCTCATGTCATATGGATATGTTTGCATCAGTCTTCAGTGTGTACAACAAAATGCTGTTGCTAAACAGAAATGAAGAGTGAACCACCTACTACTCTTTTTACTTTCTATGCTGTCCTTCACGCCCTGTTGAGATCAGATGTATGGCAGTGTTGAGAGAGTCGGCCAAGTTCCAATATAAATGATATATGAATGACAATAACACGTCATATAAGTATAACAGATGTTTGATTCAGGGCCCAATGTCTTTGTTTTCCTCAGGAGAAGGCTGCTAAGTGGAAGACGTCTGATGGTCAAATGGATGGGCTGACCACCAACGGCGTCCTTGTGATGCACCCTCGAAATGGCTTCACCCAGGACTCCAAACCAGGCGTCTGGAGGGAGATTTCAGTCTGCGGCAACGTCTTCACCCTGCGGGAAACTCGCTCAGCACAGCAGCGAGGAAAGATGGTGAGAACAGATGCAGACTATGTACTGGAACACCACATTCAATGTACATGGTGTGTTCAGTGTGCAACTTTCAAAACAAATTCAACTACTGAAGAGCCATGCTTTTGGCGTGTGTTCACAGACTGTTTTGGGATTAACCTGCTGCTGACCTGATTTTCACAAAAAAAGTCTGGTTAAGCCACTGCCCTTTCTTTCTTTCTTTCTTTCTTCTTCTTTCTTTCCTTTCTTCTTCTTTCTTTCTTTTTCTTTCTTCTTTCTTTCTTTCCTTTCTTCTTTCTTTCTTTCTCTTCTTTCTTTCTTTCTTTCTTTTCTTTCCTTTTCTTTTTTTCTTTCTTTCTTTCTCGTCCATTCCCTCACTCGCACTCTCTCACACTCACGTACCGACCCTGTCACTCAGGCAGCGGGAGGTCAGTCAGAGCTTAACATCGCCAGGAGGTTATCCGGATGCCGTGTCCATGGTAACAGGTGCTGTGTGTAACGGGACCTTGTAAGGGGATCCTCCAGCTGATGTCAGAGCCTCTCAGCCAATCATAACAGTCCCGCTGTCACATCAGCGTGGCCACCCGTGGCATTTGTTCGATTGGAAGTTGTTGGCAGTGTGTTTAATTAGGTCTTTTCTTTCTCATCTATTCCCCTCCATGTTGCCTCATACAACATACACATCATCAGCCACGAGCACACAGTCAGTGTGTCCGCAGTTCTAACATCGATCCGTCTCTTGTATCTGGTGTCCCAACCGTTTTTCAAGAACTCTTCAGTGGCAGCACAATTAACAGCTCTCTTATCTCCACCTGCCCTTTCCCATCCAGGAGGGTTAACCCATGTGTGCATTGATCCACCACTATAGAAACCACCTCCATTATTTCACAGATGATTGACAGGTTTAGACAGTCGGCCTGTTGGAAATTTTCATTATGTACGGGTGATAGAACATGATGGGAGTTGTTGAATGCACACAGGAGTCAGGACTCAGTGGAGTCTTTTTGTCAGCTCCGGGGTGATGGTTGATGCTTTCACAGGGAGAAAATTATTTGAGGTTATTTAGATACATTTTGAAGGATGATGTTAGTTTATTTTATTGTTGGCTAAATCAGAAATTCTGTTTTTAGAAGAAGTTTGCATTCTATTTATTTAATTTATTGTAACAGCAGATTGATATTTAGAAAGTTATTGCTGGATTAAGAGGCATCATGCTGCAGGCTTTGTTTTCCGTTTTGACAGACTCACTCAACTTGCGAGGCGGGAGAGCTGTTTGCCCTTCTGCAGTCGGACAAAGGCTTAAAGGCCAGCATAATTAAGAGAATATCTTAACACAGTCACACACACACACGACACACACTCACACCGCACCACCAGCACACGACCACACACACACACAGTATTTGCTGTTGGGGGCTGTTTGTGAAGTAATAATAAATGAGCCGAGTACAGTGTCTGAACTCCTGCTGTGTTTTAATATAAGGCTTCTGTGCTGATGAGATGATAGGGCTTCCTGCTGTAATTAATTATAAACTGGGTGTGTGAGAGTTTACATGGGCCTTGAATCGACCCAGAGCACTCGAATCCATTAGTTATTGAGTTCTCGGTTATGTAATTGATTAGACAAACATATTTATCCATATTCTCCTTTCTTCATTGACGGGCTGTAGCGTTAACGATGAATGAGCGATCAGCCTTGTGACCCCGCCAAGTTGCTGGTTTTGAAAACGCTGGGAAAATCTTGAGCAGGCGGGGAAAAAAACAACCAAACTGTTTCCGATCGAGCGAAAACCTGAACTCTTGCCCTTCCGCCGCACGGGCTTGCCGTTTCCAGTTGAGCAGCTTGTTGGCTAACAGTAGAACAGATGTGGCTTTACTGGGGCAGGAATGTGGATGTGTGTGTTACTGTATAGTGGGAAACTCATCATAAAGGAGGCCACACAGGCCGGTCAGCAAACCTTCCCGGGATAAATGAAGATAACCCATGACATGTGTTAGCCCCGGAAACGCGTGACCTTGACACAGCGTTTAGAATGAGTGATCTCACTAGAGCCCTTGGAGCACCTGCTCCATCAGCTGTTGTGTATCACTTTTTAAAATTCTTTGCTTTCGCTTTATTCCCTCTTCTGTTTTTTCTCCCTTTGTCCTCGTGGTTATCTCAAATGTGGAATTTCCCACTGTGTCCGAATCTGACCTAGCCTGAAGTCTGCGCTGGCCCCCCACCCCCCCACCCCCCCAACTGTCGTTGTTCTTTTAATTTCCTCATGCCATCTCGGCTCCAGTCGTCAGTCCCCTGCCTCCTGCCTGAATCACACAGCTGTCTGAGCACAAATAGAAAAGTGTTACACTGCCACCTACTGTGCTCTGATGAGTGCTACAAACCACAGTGCTCCACGATTGAAGCAGTCATCAAGAAATCATCCATCCATCCATTCTCTAAACGGCTTATTCTAGTCAGTGTCATAGGGGGCTGGAGCCTATCCCAGAATGCATTGGGTGAGAGATGAATCATTTCAGTTCAAGTAAAAACAAATTGCTTTATTTGGAAAACCCCAAAATAATTTAGAACATGGACTGTTTATTGGACACAACAAGACACCTGAAGGTGTCACTTGGGACTGACTGATGGGCCTTTTTCATTCTGGTCTTTTCATACACTAAAAGATTAAACAAAATTATAATCAACAGCTTAATAATAGATCATAACCTGTTAGATAATCTTAACTTGTATCCCTAATGTTATTATAATTTTATAAGTGAGTCCTATTTGTAGTATTCTGACAGAGGTACAGCTGGAATAATAAACTGAAAAGTCACTGCATGCATTATAGTTATTTTTAGCCCAGCCAGCAGTGGGGCTCCAAGCAGTATGGGTCAGTTAGTCGGGTAATGGCTCAACAAATATAACTGTAGATGGACTTCCTTGACATTTTGTCCAGACAGTCGTGGTCCCTGTTGGGTTTAAATCGTACAAACTTTGTTGATCTAATTTTTTTATCTGACTTTTTATATGAGGTTTCCATTTTTCTGGTTTTGTGGTGGGTGTTCTCAGGGCTGAAGCTACCACCAGGGAGACAGAGGTCATGTCCTTGTGACTTTGTCTGGGAAACTGACCTGAAGCAGTTCACATTTTATCATTTAGAGTTACTCACAGTAAAATAGATGCAGTGACCTAACCATTTGACAATGTTTAGCACCTAACCATTTAAAAACGTTACCAACCAACAGTTATTCCTGGTGGAGTAGAGGATACTCATAGAAATGAGCTTTTAGACCATCAAGTACAGAAACGTAAGTGAATACAAAATTTCAAAAAATATAATGGAACAGATGAATTCATTATGTATGCTCTCAGTATTCCTGGCTGCAGCCCTGATTATAACATCTGGCGCCATAATGAGTTCAGAACGTGGCTCTTTCTTCATCTTGATGACTATATTTTTATACCGCTGTCGTCTGCAGCGGCCCATCACTACATCTTCTCTCTGTTCCAGGTGGAAACTGAGAGTCAGGAGCTGGTCGACGGCTCTCTCATTGACCTTTGCGGTGCGACCTTGCTGTGGCGCACTGCTGAAGGCCTGGCGCGTACTCCCACCCTCAAACACCTGGAGGCGCTGCGTCAGGAGATCAACGCAGCCCGCCCGCAGTGTCCCGTGGGCTTCAACACGCTGGCCTTCCCCTCCATGCGTCGCAAGGACACGCCGGACGAGAAGCAGCCCTGGGCCTACCTGCGCTGCGGCCACGTGCACGGCTACCACAACTGGGGCAACCACCGCGAGGAGAGGGAGGGCCGGGAGGGCCGTCAAAGGGAGTGTCCCATGTGCCGAGCTAAAGGGCCATACGTGCCGCTGTGGTTGGGCTGCGAGGCGGGCTTTTACGTAGACGCCGCCCCGCCGACTCACGCCTTTAATCCCTGCGGCCACGTTTGTTCAGAGAAGACGGCGGCCTTCTGGAGTCAGATCCCTCTGCCACACGGCACACACACCTTCCACGCCGCCTGCCCCTTCTGTGCGCAACAGCTGACTGGTGAGCAGGGCTACGTCAGACTCATCTTCCAGGGACCCCTTGACTAGCAGGGGCAACTTCCCAGCATCCTTTGGGTGAGGCAGAACGGGGAATTTTTTGTTTGGACACTGACCCTGCATTGAAAACGGGGAACAACCCAGATTTGTTTTCTTTCCTCTGAGGTTAAGATATAAACTTTTTTCTGGACTTTTTGTCTCTTTCTCATATTTAAGTGACCTTTGTATTGCTTTTTCATGAATGACAACAAAGATTTCTATATTTTCATGTGAAACCAGAGACACAAAAACCAAACAAAGAACACTGCTGGGTAAACGTTTTGTTTGTTTCTCGGAAAGAACTTTCAACAACAGTATTTTTCAAAATTACTAACATACCGTGGCGCAAACATACGGTTTTTATTCATGTTTATTGTTGCAATATACATCTGTGTACATCTCTTAGAGCTTATTTAAACTAAGATGTTTATTTATGGCCCAGGAACCTTCGCTTCATCCTTTATCTGTCAGATATGTCTTCAATACTATTTAGCATTTTAATTTGAAAATACAGTATATTGTTAATCAGATATAAAGTTCTAGGTGTGTTCTGAGGGTTACGTTCTGTGTCTTTCCCCCATGTTTACCTCTCAGATCTGTTTGTCGTATTTATACACCCCGTCCTCTGGCGTGCTCTCACTTTGCGTGTTAACCCTTCAGTTATACTCTCATTAGGCATCACCATGGCCTTTTCACATTCAAAGCAATAGATTTGGAACAGAAACCTCCTAAAGCATTATGGGAAACTGAGTCTTCTTGGTATCTGCGTAACGCTCAGACAGCCCGAGTGACTGCTCGCTCCCTTTAAAGTCCGAGTGAAACGTTTCTGGTGGTGAGTGAATCTTTTCTGATCACAGGTTAGCCATGACACTGTAGCTATGTAGCTAATGTCACACATCATGCAGACACACACACACACACACACACACACACAGACACACTCTAACTAGACCTGGTCAAATACTTTTTATTATATATGAGTGGAGCACACTGAAACTCATGGTACAAAAATAAGAATACAGATGTTATTGAAATGACAGAAAGTGCTGTTTGGGGCTGACCTGCACAGCTACAGCATAATCAATAATCATTATTTTGCCACATACAGTATTGTGATCAGTATTAATCTCAACATTGAGCTGAGAAATAAATAATAGTTTTAATAAAAATGCTGACAACAGACATTTAAATGAATTGAGAACCTTAACCCCAGCTGTCACCCATGAGTAAAGGTGCGTCCTGTTAGAGACCCATAAATAAAATGATGTGTTTTATTTTGAAAAATGCAGATTTACTCCCAAAACTTCAGGAAGGACTTTAACTACTAGTTGTGATTTGTTTGAGCCATAACGAGTCGGAGGGGGGGGGGTCATTTTTATCCTCTTTCTCTCACCTGAATTTTAACAGTGCAGGAAGTCACATCCATCTGATGCATGAAGCAAGCAACAAAACACGTTTAAGAAAAAGACAACTGTAGCTGTTTGACTCAGGTTTGATGCACACCAACACATACATGGCTTCAAGTTACACACTTATTTATTTATGGATATGTGTGTGTGTGTGTGTGTGTGTACTCACCAGGGCTTGATATTAATTTGTGCTTTCCAAACAGTGTACTGAAGCAGTCCCCATGGAGCATTTTAGGGGTGATGAGCTCTACAGTGTGAGTACTAAATATCAGGGCTGCTTGTTCTTTATTTTGTTTGTTGTAGACTAGGGCTTCATGATTGCTTTTATATCAAAGTCACAACTTTAAACAGTGTAATTAGAGTTGTGTTTTAAAACTATACAGACCACAAATAAAGGTCTACAGTGGAATTAAACATTAATTCTGTCAGGTGGCCAAAAAAAGAAACTCTTAGCTGTCTTCTGGTTAATATGGTATCTGCATGTTGTTTGTTATTTAGGCCCCAAAAAAGGCAGTGAGAGAAAAGGCAACTTCTACTCAAACTTAAACTTTAGTTTAGCCCAATTATACCTAAATGATCATTTTACATAAACAAGAGAGCAGTATTTTAATCCCAGTACCTATGATATTATTTGATTCTTTTTTAATATATATTTAATATATTTTTTTATAATTTATTTATGCTTTATTAGATAATCATGGGAAAGGTGACAAGAAATGAGGGGCGAGTGAGATGGGGAACGACATACAACAAAGGTTGGATGCAAACCAGAGACATTCATGTTCGGTGCCTCAACCCACCATGACTCTTAGGACATCTTAAATACACAAAAAATATTAGACATGTTAAACGTAATCTAAACTAAGACAGACACAAAAATATCAGTAAATAACAGTTATGTTTTTGAAAAATGAACCAGAAATCCCCCAAGTATCCAAGCAATTACAGCCCATGACCAACTGGGCAACGTTTGCTGAGGAAGATCATGGGATAAGATCGAAAGCTACAGAGTACAGCTGCTAAATGGACCTTGTGGTTAGATTGTTATGTCAGTTAGTTTTTAAGATCAGTGACTGCAGGTAGCATTTAAAATGCAACCAAAACTGTAAAGTAGCCCCCTCGCACTCCCTCTGCAGTAACACACAGCCTGAGAACGAGAACGAGTCCTGATATTTTGTACGTTACATGAAAGCACAAATTCTCCCAGACTCCTGCTGCGTACTCACAACACACCCTGCGGCGTCACCGTGGCTCGTCCACTTTACTCGTGCAGCCACAGACGGCGCAAGAACGAGACACACGAACTGTAGAAACTTCACAGCAGTGAAGCAGCTTTACTAATCAGTCACTTCCAAACTTCAGTAAACACAAGAGCCTCTGCAGCTATCAGTAGTGTGTGTGTGTGTGTGTGTCTGTGTGAGAGAGAGAGAAGAGAGAGAGAGAGAGAGAGAGAGAAGAGAGAGAGGAGGAGAGAGAGAGAGAGAGAGATTGTAATTTATGTGTTCATGATGATTGTATGTGTGCCGTGTTCAGTGTGTGTGCTCATCTGTCCACACAGTATTTCTCCATACGCAGATCATTTTCATCATCCCAGCGCTCGGACTGCAACACACTGACTCACCTCAGGGAGAAAAAAAATGACACACACACACACACACACATACACACACACACACTGCTAAGGTCTTCTGAGGAATACCTCATATAGTAAAAAAAAAAAAGTCTATTCTGGATTTAAAGTTTTGTGTCTTGCCTCTCCTTCACCCGTTTTGTTTCATGGACTCTGAGGCGGTGTGTCTGTCTCTGTGGATAAAGTGTGTGAGTAAGGGCTTCACTCTGTCTCTGTACTGTTATCTCAACCCTGTTTCTACATGTACACACATCCGTCAGTC